ATCATATTTTTTGTAATTGTCGTATTATTTATATATATATATATATATATATTAAAAAAATAAGATCTCTCGTGATTTAAAACATTTTGTAATTATCTTGTAATGTATCGAGCATTTAACAAGCAAAAAATTTCAACTTTCCGCAACTGTAATGTTCATTAATGAAACCTTAAGCAAAGAGCTCGAACAAATTACCAATAATTTAGTTGGATCAAACATTTTACGTATATTAATGCTATTGCTTATTCAAAATTCTTTTACCTTTATTTATTTAACGTTTATTTATCGATAATCGAACACAGGATTGAGTTAAAATTTTATATCTCGTAAGGCTTTATTTAAGCTTAATTTTAACGCTCAACGATAATTATAAACATCTCGTCATCGTTCCGGGTCTATGGCCATCATCTGCCTATTAAATAACAACAAACCCAATGCTAATGTCTAGTTTGCCTTTGGCTTTTACTATCGTCAATGTAAAGAAATTATACCTAGTTTTCGGGCTCACCGAGTTTGTCATATAATTTGAATGCATAGGCGCATGCGGAGCACATGCAACGCAAAGAGAAACCAACCGTCCCGCACTCGTACACAGCTCAAACTAACCAATAGAAAATCATTATTTGCAAGTAGATGCATTTGTTTCAACCAGACCCTCTTTTGTACGCAAAGAGAGAGAGAGAGAGAGAGAGAGAGAGAGAGAGAGAGAGAGAGAGAAAATTGGACAAGCATAGAATTCAATCTGGAAATAGCTTCCGATTTTTACGGAAAATTCAATGAGAATGACATTTCGTTGGTATAGAAACTACTGGTACCGTGGCTGATAAAATCGCCAATACATTATCAATGAATCATCATTTTCAACTTCTCCGCAGTGCCAATCGAAGAAATCGCATCTCAATTCAATTGGCTTTAATATGAGACGGCAAATCAAATTGTATAACGGAGGCGACTTTTTGCATATTGTATGTGATGTAAAAAATTGTACAAAATCAGGTGTTTGAGGAATCGATTGATTTGCAGGCCATTTTTCGCAATGCTAATAAAATTTTTGTTTACACATTGTTGATTGCTTTATTCGTTGAGATGAAGCGAAAAGTTTTATCGACGTAGGCCTGGCTAACGGAGATCGCTCGAAAGATTTTAAACTGTAAATGTTCATTCAAACATGCAAACTGCTTATTTATGAAACACTAGGGAAATACAATATAATCTAATGTATTTATTAAAACAAAAATAAAAAAATTAACGTTTAAAAATGACAAAATATGCGTAAATAATTTAAAATATTCCGAAATCCAATCGTTAAGATCATTCGTTCATATTGGATTTTGTCATGTGTGTAATATATTATTTTAAAGCCGCGTATAAAATGTTTACGTGTTTGTTTTCGAATACGATGCTTGCACTTTGGTTTCAGTACAAATGAAAAAAAAAACGCAGAGAGAGAGAGAGAGAGAGAGAGAGAGAGAGAGAGAGAGAGAATGCTAACGGTCAGTAGTCCGAAAAGAAGCATATTATATCGAGATTAAAAATCTAGAATTCCAAACTTGTTTAAAAAATCTGTCAGATTAAATTTATATATCTAATAACGTATCCGTTCACGGGATAATGTCCGAGCTAAAGGATAGACGAAGCAAAAAGCCGAGAGAAAGAGAAAGATAGAGGGGAAATAGATGGAGTACCTAATACGGCGATAGAATAAGACGTGTCGAGTGAAACGAGCTCAAGCGCGCGAGCGAGTGAAAGAGTGAGTGAGAGAGCGAGAGAGAGAGAGAGAGAGAGAGAGAGACAAGGGACGCATCCTCGTTCCCAATGCGCTCTACACGAAAGATCGTCGACCGATGTCCCTCTCCCTTGCCCCATCGTCCCTCCCTTCCTCCCACCCTCACACTCGCTTACTCACTCACTCACTCTCTCTTTCTCTTTCTCTTTCTCTTTCTCTCGTTTCGCCGTGTGAAAGAAGCCCGGCTCTCGCGCGCGAGCAACTGCGATAGAGAAAAAGAGAAAGAGAAGATTTTACTCGCGGGAACGAACGTTTCCGGTTTACCTGGACCGTCGCGCCGCATCTCAATGAACAAAAAAAGCGTACGTGTGTTTGTGTAGATTATTTTCTTTTCTCTTGCTCGGCTGTGATCTGACGAACAAGTACTACGTATACACGCTTCTTCTTTCTAACGCGTTGCAACCAAGCAATGAATCTCTTTTTTTTTCTTTTTTTTTCTTTTGGATGCTAGACCCGTGTCTGACGACAGCCCCCTTCTACCCCAACCCCTCACCACTCAGCCCACGCCGCACCATCCTTCCCCAAATTTTAGGCGAACGCAAGATAGATTTTAAAATCCTACCAATCTTCAAATACTTTTTCCGGTTTAACGACGATATTTTTAATTTGTTGTTACAGTGTCGATGGCTAATTTGAAATTAGAGAATATCTTTTTAAATTACCATTTAACAGTGGTTTTCGTGGACAAGCAAATTTTATAAAATTCCTGCCCGAAGAGAGACAGAAATAACGTTTTTTTTTCCCGTCCTCTACATACCAGCGTTGCATCTATCCTTCCAATTAAGCTCCACAATAACACGGCCTTACGTGCCTTGACAAATAATCAATTAACTGGACGTGTAAATAAACATTCGCAGGTAGCTTTACTACCAAAATTTACAAACATACCAATATTAGAGATAATCGCGCAACTATGCGAGTCATTTTCACAATAATGTCAAATAAAACGTACAGCCCGGGCATTTTTCATGTCTTTTATTCTTTTTTTTCTTTTTTTAATATTGTAAATAAGTACCGGTCGATCCCTCAATTCACATAGTCGAGTGAAAAATATTATTTCGCGCAAGAGTTTCTCGAGAGATAATCACGTGGCCGATGAATTATCCAGCGCTCCATGCATTCCATAACCTGTACTTTTCACGAGAGCATCGCTAAACGAATAAAGACTCATTAGTCGCGGCATAAATTTTGTCTCCTCGAACTCTGACGGCGAATCGATACTCAAGAGATTCGATTATAATTGACAGGCAGGAGGCCTCGTATCCGAGGCGGCCGCAGCTCACGCATTACAAATTTTTAATCACACGAAACGAATCGATCGATATGGATTGTCCATTTATCATAGCACGGCTGACGCGCGAGACGAACAAACAAATATTTCGCGCTTCAATATAGAAATGGAAATGGATAGTTGAGACTCGGGAGAGAGAGAGAGAGAGAGAGAGAGAGAGAGAGAGAGAGAGGGAGAGAGAGGGAGAGCTCGGCATATCGTGCGACTCGTGTATCTCTCTCTCTCAAAAGTCCCGGAAAGTCTCTAATGTATTTGGCGACACTTGGGAGAGTATAAAAAGCCGAGGAAAAGCACGACAATGGACACGAGAGAAGCTAGGTGAAGTAGAAGGCAAGGAACTCCCGTCCCCGCTGCCAACGTTAATTTCCGGCATCCTTATGATGCGAACGTCGCTTAGCTCCTTTTACAGTCCTATCGTCGCGATGCGCAGCGCAAATAACGAAAGCGACGGTGTCCCAGCACCGACCCATCGGGTTCCTCGCATGCGCATGCTTTCACTGCACTGCCAGACTGGACGACGCGTTATCACGAGACCCCGGCCTCGGTCCTCCCGTCAATCATTAGCGCGACGTCGGTGCCCGGAATCGAGCCGCCTCGTTGTCCGCCTCGTCGTACGCGTTGTGGGAGGGCGCGACTCACGTGGTCTTGGCGATTAGACCTCCTTATCAGCGAGTACCCGCGCACTTTTATTAGCCGCTCCGTCGTTCAGTCCTGTTACGGCGTCGGACGACGTTGGATCGCGGTTGGTCCTCGCAGGTAGGGTTTGACGAGGGGTGGGCGTCGATCGTCCGTGGGGAAGAGAAAACCGGGATTTGGAATACCGGCGATGGAGCGCCAAGATTTTCGCGATACCGTGGCTCACGCTACCGCCTGTCATATTGTTGTTCCGCGTGATTTTATGACGTGGAACCCGCGCGAGCCCGTACCAAGTCGTTAAATTGTCTTGCAGGCTTTTACGGAACGAGGTTTTGTTCTCGAATCGAAGGATACGCAGCTCTCGAGATTGCTTTCGATAATTTATACATCAACGGCGCACTTTTTGTTGAACGGCATCACGGCCACAATGATAAACTAGCTCATTACGCAGGCAGTCTCGAGAGGAAAAGCTCGATCGAACGATGAAAAATCCGGATGCGATAACCGTGCCCTTAGCGGTACCTATAACCTACAAAAAATAATAAATCCATAGCAGTTTCCAAAGTCTTGGCTTTAGAACTCGAGACTAATAAAGGCGATCGCTGGAAGAAAAGCACGATGGCGATGGGTGGTGTACGGGTGGGAATGTGAGGGTTGTTAGGCGATGACGAAGGCCAATTGTATTATTTAAATCGAACGACAGAAAGTAAGTTGAGTTATTAATGGCGGTAATAGCCGGACGCTCAATAATTTATCCATGTAAATGTCAATATTTACCGATCAGCATTTAAGGCCAAATTGGCTATTTACATGTGGAGAAACGTTGGCAACTGGCGGGCCGCGAACCAACGGTATATCACGAGCAGCGGTTATTCTGTTTTTTCTTTCTTTCTATTTTTCCTTTTCTCCCAATCGGGTAGCAGCAGCCTTCGTATTCGCTATTATTATTCGCCGACAATGGCTTTGCATAGCTGATATGCGCGCTTAGTAGCGATCGAGACGGCCGGCATCCGTGCGATAATCGATCGCGGGCTCGATTTTCGCCTCTTAGCCTTCGCGCTCGGCAGTCGTGCGTAAAAACGCAGCCCGAGTGTTCATACACTCTCTCGCCCCATCTCCGTCCCTCCAGCATCAACCCCGAACCGGGCGTCACTCGCCCGTACGACGAATCACGAGCAAACTCTCTTTGCCCAAATGGGAAAACCAGTTGGCGCCCGCGCGTACCTCTACCTTGACTTTTGAACAAAAAAGACTCGGAGCGTGACGCTTGTGTCGTTTCGCAGGTACGACCGACGGGGAAGGAGGAGAGCCGAAATGGAGGGCGGCGAGGTGCGCGGCTCCTAAACCGAGCAGCCGGATACCACGATAGCCGCCAAACCTCGCCAGGATGCTGTGCTTAAAGAAGCGGCGTACCTACAGCTTCACTCAAGGGGCGCGCAAGGAGTCGCGGCCCCGACGCTCGGCCTCGTCCACCGGGAGGGACGAGCAGCGCGATGGAGTCGACCTCGAGCCCGGATTCCTCGCCACTCTGCCCCGCAATAACACGTAAGTGCATTATTGATCCTTGCTGGAGCGATCGAAGGACGATTTTGAAGGGAGTGCTGATGACGAAGAAGTTGTTGTTTTCTTTCTTAATCCGAGGTATTGGTGTGGTTGTTATCATTCGACGGTGTATCAAACTTATAAATGACTGTCTCGAGCATTGAAGTTGCGATGCGAGTGATGGGATATTTATTAAGTAAATGTGGTTGGAGGTGGGGGGGGGGAGGATTCGTTTACAATCTCATAGAATGTTTTACGATCATTGCACGTGGTAAGTAATAATGGGGGAAATGCTGGTTGTTCGTTAATGGATAAAAATTTTAATCCTCGATGTCTTCGTAATTCGTCTATTAAATCCAATGTTTTGCTTAAGCACTTTTTCCCGTAAAAACTACTTTCACCATCGTAATTACAAACTATTTAAATCGTCACTGTGTTAAATCTGGTTATATATATATATATATATATATATATGGACATAGATAATTCTTGTGGATTTTCATTAATATGAATACGATGAAATGCTTTGGTATCGAAAATCGTTGATATTATTTCGTACATGAATAATACCAAAGAATAATCGGGCTTGAATTTTGCAATACCTTAATTATTTCACTTACATCCAGTGCTTAAAACGATTCAACTTTCATACATTTTTATTTTCAATCTGCATAATCATTATTGTGTATCGTGAGTCATAAAATAGATTGTTTATAAATGCTAATCGCGAAGGTAAAGAAAGCGAATACATTATGTTACATTTATGTTTGTACAAATTTTGCATGCATGAAATCTTAATTGCTATTGTTTTTTTCTTTTTTAATACAGATAAATTTTCTTTGAATTCTGTTCTCCAGTTAAGCGCAAATCGTTTATATTAAATACATACGCATAGGCTACCTTCCCACGCAATCGAAAAATCATTCTTATTTATCACAAGTATAAGTCATTTATCTTGGAGTACATGTATACGTAGAGTAGATGGAATAACTAAAAATGAAAACTATCAGCAGTCGTAGTATTAATTTATAATAAAATTTTATGAACGATATTTAGCGTATAGTGATAACTATTTCATTTTCAATAATTCGTAAATGATAGATCG